GCGTATTCAGAAATGTGTTTCGCGCTATTCGCATGGACCCCAGCTTTCTTCTATGGCATGCCATCTCAGAGCATGATCGGTTAGAGGAAATCCATATACACATCAAGCATTGACGAAACAGAGGAGAGGGGTCGATTATATGATAAAAGCGACTGTATTGGGAGGTTTAAATGAAGGAGAAAACTCGAAAGCTGCACTTGTTCATCCCTTTCATTGCGGTACTTTAGTCAACCGGCCAGTACAACGGCAATTCATGTCTTAATGTCTGCTAAAAGGCAAATTTCATATTTTCAGCTGTCTACTGGCGTGAGGGACCTGCGCAGATGCTGGACAGCAGTTACAGTCTTATTAGGGTATCGGAGCGTCTTCAAACCGGACAGTATAACACAGAAACGGAGAAAACTGCGCCTTCCAATAGGGCGTATGCCTGTGTCAGATGACTAGTTGTCTTCTACTTTGTCAAGTACAGGTGTGCGCAACAACCGTCGTTCAGCGCAACGACAGCTTTCTTACTAATGGTGCAGCGTTTTTCATTATACAGTTATCGAGCGATCTTACTGCACTTCGCACTTCGATCGTCCTCAACAAAACGCGTTAAAAGACGTTTGTACTTCACCGGAGGCATTTTCGGACATATTAACTGCATCTAGCTTTGAGACGTACGACGTAGCGACTATGATTTTAACGAAATAGTCACGTACTACTCTTAGTGACGCCTGTCTTTGGACATAAGTGAAGGGCTGGCCTGGTTTTGCAAAATGTTTCCGTTGGTGTGTGTGTGTGTGCTTATGTACACACTTATATCTCTCCTTAAACTTCTCAGCTCCTCTGTTCGGCTGGACTATTTCGAAGCGTGATCTATCCGCGAAACGCCGTGAACAATTTGCTTTTCCGGGAGATCCTGGATCATTTTTCTATTATTCCGCCTGACACATTCATGAATATATGGACTTCGCTGATCTGGTAAAGGAGCAACACTTGAGATTGTGTATGACTGGCCGATGACGGCTAACAAGCCAGAAATGGCCATTCCGATCTCTCTTTGTTTTGTCGGATCCATTCCACACATCTATATTTTTTTGCAGTCGCACTCCATTTTTTGGAAAAATCAGAAACTATATTGGGTAAATGTTCAGCGTTGGTTCCCTAGGTAGTCGCCAGGCTTAAGTAAATATACAAAGCGAAAACAATTAACTTTTCAAACGTGCTTAAAAAATCGTTACTTATTCGGAGTCTGCGCCAGTAAGGGGTTGTTATTTGCGTCATTCTATGTTGACTGGTTCTCGTTTCGTCCCTGAGATTTTATTACACGGAGTCGATTAAGTGCATAGCTTCAATGAACTCGCGGCTTTTGAAAGTTCTATCCGATTGCCCGTTACGGTTCCATTTTCCCAAACACCCCTTTTTATGCGCAAATGCCTGCTTAAATATATCTTATTTTCTTCATTTCTAGAGGTTTTGTAAAATGCACGTTTGACTTACGAGTAAGAAGTCAGGAAAACAAAAATGAAGAACCTTAACGACGACTGGTATGCCCTCGGGTCAAACTATTATAGGTATGATTTTGAACTCCTACATTCAATTTAAAAACAGGAGGCTGAAACTGTTCAACCTGTCCTTGTCGGACTCAATCAACTTTGATGACTTCTTTATCGCAATCAGAAGGATTTACGGTGAAATTGGTAACTTGCTCCCATTAAGTACCTGAACTTGCTGAATAGCATTCCTACAGCGACCCGCATCCTCGAAGAAGCCCTTCCTTCGTATTACAACTTCTTCCGGAAAAACGATCGCGGAGAATTTGGTGCGTTTGCTGCATTGGTTGCGACCGGTTTAGACATGTTTCGCGCATTTTGCTTGCTGAATGCAGAAGTACTCCTGATCGGCTTGTTTACTATTGAATAGCAACCTGTCCTGATAGGTACCACACACGCCAGAACCTTTCCCCTTTGCCATTGTTCTTGTCGCCAGCTTGCAAGTTTTCTTCCTCAACTTTAGACCCTATACTGTCGCACGTGTGTCAGGTTTGATAAGGTTAGGTTTCTCTGTTATTCTTAATGTCTACGTGACTTCTAGCTGGGTCTTCTTTTGACTCCGTGTTACACGTATTCGCAACGGTTCCGATTTCCTTAGTTGACTTTGCGCCTTGGTTTTTTATCAGAGAAAGTTAGTCTAACTTCACCATAAAGAAAACTACTTTATCATGGAGAAGGGGGAGTAACTTTTCCTCGCTGCCCTGAAAGAAGCGCATACTCATTAATTGGCACAAGAAACAAACCTAGTTGCGATAACTGAGTAGTTAAAAAGCCCGATAGTGATTCGGAAGAGCTGGTGGCTCTATTTCGAATCTCAACTCTCATCTTGGTTCTATGAATTTTAAGGCATTTGAATAACAAACATTAAAATAAAACAATCTTTCGCATGTTGTTATGTGAATGTAGTAATTAACACTTAGAGGGTTACTTCCCGTTGCTATGACTAATAATAAACGGAAAAAACCTTTTAAAACATCTATAGCGGTTAGCTAGGTATATTAAACTCCAGAGGTTTACATAACCCATCCATATCGTTTTGTCTCACTTCACACTCGAGAGCAAGTTAAAGTTGCTGCAGTAACTCGATGAGGCAGATTATTGGGTCGATTTTTTTGGCCGCGTCACTAGCTTATATACTACGGAACTTATTCTAAAAAGCCATATGTTACTCCCGGAACCTCTAAAAAAACAGAGGGAGCCTTTATTCGCATTACCTTCGTCTTTGGGTCAAGAGATTGGTCTGGTATTTTATTTCCCTAAGTACGTTTTGAAGTTTGCCTACTACATGCTCTCTGTAGTGGAAGGATGCACCTCCAGTGGCCATTGGTTGGACAACGGAGGACGAACTGGCTGTCGTTCAGAGGTCTGGCTACGTCACCCTACTCACCATGAATGCAACCTTCAAACGCCGGTTAAGCCTGGGCAAAGAAGCCGAAGCTGCTCAAATTGTCGAGGCCAAGTTCTTCACTTACGAGAATGTACGTGTTCAGCTGCATTTTGCCATTGTTTGTTCATCTTACCGACCTGTGTCCTTCTCTGAAAGTTGGTTTATTACATCTACTTAGCATACAGCCGTCGCCTGTCTGACGAATAATTCCCGCATTCTCATCGCGCCCAGTCTGGAACGGCAAAGAATTCTGGCAATCGCCGATATCCCGAACGCGGCACGACCCTCCTTCCTCTGGGATGTTATCTCCTCTCAGAACTCGAATCCCAGTTTAATCTCGGACGCTTTCAAGAGTCCTTGGATACTTTTAGTCTTCTCAAGACATATCTTTCGCCTCGGAGTTGGCACCACCCACAAGGTGATCATTTGCGACTTATACCTCTTTTTTACTCACCTCCACAACAATGCTCCCTTTGGACATCCTTCCTGAGGGAATATGCTAACTTATTTCCAAAATTGGTGACCATTCGTGAACTCTCTGGTGTACCCTTTTCAGTTGGAGCAAACTTTTTGTCTAACCCTTCGTATTCTGGTGTCTTCCAAAAGAATCAACTCATTTTTGTGTAGAAAGCTGTTATCTCCAGGCTTTTCCGGTATGAATTACGCGGTAGTTTGCTGCGTTGCTTCATCTTGCTGTAGCCTACGTGCAGTTTGCCCAGCTTGCCTCAGTGTCTGCTTCGGCCTGCCTCAGCGCTTGCTGCAGCCTGTGTGTGTGTGTGTGTGTGTGTGTGTCGTAGCCCATAGTTGGATCAGGAAT